AGTTTGGCAGGTGGCCTTCATGGCCAAGCGAGGCTGGAATTCTCGGAGTTGGCTTTCAGAAAAAAGTCTTGGCGTCAAGGGGTTAAGTAACATATTCTGAGCCATGTCAAACCCTAACAAATTATTCAATATGTTGCAATACCAAATTCAGCGTTATTCTGCACAAAATGCATGTAGACAGAATTTTGTCTCTTCAGACCTGTTTTTTGGCATCAACTAGTAAACAACAATGACCAAATCCAATGATGCTGCCCAAGTGCAATCAAGGACACCTCCAACTATACTTCAATATTTGGTCATTAGTTAAAGACATTGGTATCAGTTCAACAAAAAGGTGTTTTAATTATTCACATGTAATTGGACATTTATTTTCATGCACACATTTTGTTTGAAATTTTACCTCAGCTCGGATGATTTTCTCCATGATGGTTTCCAAGGTCTCAGAGGCCTGACAAGTGTGAACACCTTCAAAGTATGTCTGTCTGAATTGCAGGGCTTGCTGAATTGTAATGTCCAAGTTGTTGTACGATTTCTCAGCAGCAAGATTCTAAACAGAAGAAGAAAATCACCAATAAACAGACAAATAAAAAGACAACACAAGACTAGTGCGTGTAATGATCTTTATTAATTCAAAAATTGTTAACACAATAAATTCATCTTCATCTGCATGACAACTTGATCAACAGATGTTACATGTACAACACTGTAGCTTCAGGCAAATACAAGCACAGGCAAGCTTATAATCATTATGTCAAATGACGCATGCTTAGCTGCTTAGCAGAAAAGCCTTGTTATATTGAGACATGACAAAAAATAAGCTAGTTCTGTACACATTTGGGTTGAACCTACATTAACCACTTCCTGCCAGGGACTCCGGTGATAATCCAGCCTTGTTTTGAAACCGTATACCAGGGTTTGGGGCATTGAGAGCAAACGGATTACCACTGGGGACAAAAGCGCTACGCCACCGCCGCGATGAGCCATACAGCACCGCTGCACGCTAATCTGGCCCCTATTGAAAAGAGGTCAGCAGTGCACTGAGCCACGTTCGTAAACAAAAGACAGTTATACAGCACCGCACAATCTGGGCTCTGTTTACTAGGCTGCTGGCCTGGCTGAAATACTTGGGTGTCGATGAAGGCCACCTGTCAACTTAGAGTAGTGCCTAAGGATTACCTCGTGCCTCTATAAACGACCATTAAATGAAATGATGAATTTTTGAAGGATTTTGAAAAACGGAAAAAATGATAGTCATGCCAGCCCAGCATCATCAACATTGAAAATACCCTGGCATGAAGTGGTTAACAAACTTCAGTGGAATCTCTTCAAACAGCTAAAGAACATTCACAGTTAATATGCAAGAATGTTCTAATTCTGTGTAAATACTGCCACAGTTAAGTGATCCTTTCCTATTCGAGCCCTTCCTTTCCAAAACTTTGACAAATGCATGACATGACCCCTTTTCATTAAATTGAAACCTGTTGTTTTTCCCAAGAAATCTAACTGAATGAGAGCTGACAGGAAAATGAGGAGTGGTTTGATTTGACACGAACTTCGGGCAGAAATTAAAAGTGAGCTTTGAGATATGGACTCTATGGGAATGAAATTCTGAGCAAATGTACAGTAATTGATTAGGATGACTGGAGTAGAAGACTTACAATGACATCAAACTTGGCATAGATATCAATGATCTTGTTGTTATCATCAATAACTGGCAATGCTGATACTCTGCGGTCAACAAAGATCTGTAGCGCCTTGATTAAAGGAGTGTTGGGCTTGGCCTGTCAAATCCAAATCACACAAATACTTTTTGTAAATATTAACTGCTCTCAATTCTGTCTGAGAACGATTCAAAGAAGCAAACAAATGAACAAATTCCCAGAGAAACAGAGGAACTTGACTGAAGAGACTGTCATGCTATTAACCTCAGGGGACTAAAACTACAGATACCATGCCGAATAGTCATAAATAAGTCCCAACAATCTTGCTGAAGGAGCAGCAGATGGAAGGACAGTTGATAGAAGAATCTTGTTAGATTTAGAAAGGAGTACTTAATTCTTCACAAACTAAGAGATATGTCTCATTCCAAATGCCAGACGATAGGAAACCAACATGTTGCAATTTGTCTTTAAACCTCATACAGACTTCTCAACAAGCCATATCCTGCCAATATGGTGAGCACATCTAATTACTCATGAATTGTGTCAGGTGATACATGTATATCCCTTTCTGCTGAAGTCATAAACACTTCTTATGATGATAAAATTCAAACACTGTTTCCAAAATGAGGACGAAGCAGAGTGCATGCAAACGGTTTTTGCATTACATGGATATAGGGATAGAAATTTGTTCACAAGTCTGCATAAATTCATACGCAGAGAGAACTTTCAAATTTCATTATTTATATATTATCATCTTACTTATTCAAATTTAGAAGTGATCCAAAAGGTTGTTTTCCTGACTAAATAACACTTACAGTTGCAATATTAGTGTATGTGCCAATACCAAGTTCCTGTAGGCTCTTCTTCAAGAATGCTGGACTTCGGATTTCATTTTTCTAAAATGAAAAATGCATGGAAGCTCACCCAAAAGAAACATATAAAATACAACAACTGGCTTAACAGATGTAGGTGCTTAATCTCAGATTACTTATCAAAATAGATACTACTCTTCCTGGCAAAGATTTCATTTCATGAAATTCCCGCTAAAAAGCTGCACCAGCATTGGTCTAAAAACAGCATCCTGCCAACCACAAGGTCAACTTCTCAAAATTATGTGGTGTAGTAAATCATTTGTGCCTGTAAATGAGGAGTCTCTTACATACATGTAAATGAGTGTGAAAAACGTAGGTGTGAAGTCTAACGAAGGCCAAAAACATACATTTTATGAGTCTTTGTCACGTTGTGCAAGATGGTAAAATATCCAGCATTGACAACAAACATATTTCAATCTAATTAATGACATGATGTCTATACAACAGGATTTGTGTCTCACACAATAGCTTTTATCACTGTGTGTTGCAAAATATTCTGAAGTTTATAAATTAGCATGAAGGCAACACTGCTCACCAGCAGCCCAAGAAATTTGAGGATCCTCTTGTGGGTAAGAATGTAGATGACATTGCCGGTTACTGGATCCACAACAGGCAGACGATGAATCTTGGACTGAATCAGCATTCTAACAGCTTCAAACAAACTGAAACAAGTATCACAGCAGAAATAATAGTGCTATTACAAAATAATACCATATGAATCCGCTGACATGAATTTATTTAGATGATGTTAACACCATTGACATGATGATTATGATCATTAGGCAGGGGAATGTCCTACTTACTTTGACACCAATTGTCAGACCTCAGATTTCCTAGGCAGGAAGCATTACCTACTCCTGACAGTGGCATATCTAAGTGGGGGGCACATTGTCCCCCACCCAGAGACATGTTGGGAATGGTGTGGTTTTTTGTTTTGGGTTTTTTGTTTAATTGAAAGCACAAAACTTCCAACACAACTACAACTACTATTCTTGGGGACCTCTGTTTCTAGAAGAAATCCCACTTGGTTCCCCCTGACTCAAAAACCTGGACACGCCACTGACTCCAGAATAAAGTGATGAGGTGCAGAACTAAAATGTAAGGTCATTAAAAGCTTTGCACCTTAGGATGTGCCAATCTGCAGTGATTGTCCATGTCAATTTCATGGAACAGATTCAGGCAATTTGTACTTGCAGTTGTGGGTGATGTGGGCACCTTCATAGCCATTTGCCATTGGTTTTGCATACACACAGAAGGTGTAATTAAACCCTGCAGGCTAGCTGTGTGGTAAATATATTCTTACTTTGCTGCATGTTGATGCTAGTAACTGCACCATCACATTGCAGTGCAGAAGAAACAATATTACACTGAAAACTGTTGTATCAATCTTCTACAAATGACTGTTGAATCAGAATTTGTGAAGTTGTAATTTGTTTTCTTTCCGGCAGAAAATATACCTTTAGTTGGTTGAGGAAGGAATTCATTAGGTCACAGTTTTGAAATAAAGACGTTTGTCACTTTCCCGTATTTGGTATGTAAAATCCCACATTTCAAATTTTGACACCCATCTATAGGGAGCTGTCAATTGCAATTTGGTTTGAAATGAAATGCAAATTAAGAACAATGAAGAAAGTCACTGTTGTAAGATTGTTAACACAGTACGTTACCTTTATCTGTGGTAAAAAAGGAATTTTTATTTTCATAATTGACAGATCAGACTAGATAACCAGTATAAGGGAGAGTCAGGGTGCCGCAGTGTTTCTTTCTTCTTCTACCCCCTCTGGGAGCCTGGGTTCAAATCTGGATCAGTCCATATGTGGATTGGGTTTTCAGTCCCTACCTGAGTTTGTGGGTTCCCCCGAAAGCCTTTATCCAGGGTTTTTCTCCCACCTCTAAAACTGAACATTTCTTCATTGTCTTCTTCACTCACTATCATCCTGTAATACTGGCACTAAATGCGCTGTTGAATGAACATGAATGTCAAGAGAAGACAATGAGAAGCAGTTACAGAGGTGGAAGGTGAGGAAAGAACCACTACACCAACCTGACTCCCCAATTTTCATGACAGCTGGCTTCTTTACCGCCGGATGCTGGATTATTTTTGGAGACACTAATACCCATCTAAAATAAGTTATATAAAATGTAAGTGGAAAGGTAATCCAGAAACTATGGCTGTAATTTCTTTTGGGGGGCCTTACACACAACAATCCATAAAGTGGATAATATAAACTAAAAGATTATATGATGCAAATAACATGCATAACAGCTCCACACCAAACACTGAAGGCAACCTCACAAAAGTATGAGCTCCTTATCATACCTGGCATCTGGATCAATCCACACCAGTGGTCTTGCCTTTTTACTCAACACATCTACAAAAGGAAACAGGTAGGGCATGTGGGTGAAACATTTATCTCTTGCAGATACTGTCTGTGTCATAACTTGCTTTGAGACATTTGAAAAACAGGATGTCACGTAATATTTCAATTCTGTTCAAGGAAATTATGGCTACCGAAATAAAGTTAAAACAAGGCTTACTCCATCATAGGTTTCACTCGATATACATGTATATATACGAGTATCTGGACAAGGAAAGTTTCCTTCTGTATAAAGTCTTGGTAAGGCCTCACCTTTAGTATGCTAATCACATCTACATGTAGGCACCACATTCTACGAAACACATCATGGAAATTGAGAATGTCCAAAGACGAGGAACTAAACTTATCCCCAGCTTCAAGAACATGTCCAATAAGGAAAGACTATGACAGTTGAATGTACCAGCCCTAGTACATGTATATTGACAAATACGAGGAGACATGATTGAGACATTCATAACACTCACAGGGAAATATGACCAAGAGGTGACCCATTTCACCCACCAACACGAATGATATTGGCAGTCATCAGTTAAATATATCCAAGACTAGAAGACTATTGCTTTGTACATTGATCAGTTGACACTTGGAACAGCTTACCCAGGTTTATGGTATCTGCACCCAGTGTAAAGTCTTTTGAAGCAAGACTAGATAAAAAATATGGGTATCTCAACAATTCTAATACGACATTGATACTCCCAACCTCACTTGCATGCTCATAACTACATTGTAAGTTTAATAAAAGGATCTACATGAATTAGATCTGATGAAAGAGGCCTCCAAAGGCCTACAATCAGAAGAGGACCTGTAAGTATATGTATCTGTTAGGACATCATGAACTCATCCTTGGAAACTGAGCATGTATTTTCATTCAACAAAAGACTTCTTCCAGCAATCAATGAATAACAAGTAAATCCTTTGATTCAGTTATGGCTGTTCTCAGTCTAAATGTAATGCAAGCACATACATAATAGCAAATAATGAGGAAACAAATATGTCCTTGACTCAAGAGAATGAACACGACTGCTGCCCGAGACACAGGTGAAGGTATTAGCAGCATTCTCATGAATGTTTAAGATAGGCCAAAATACACTTATTCCCTTATTATTTGCTATTACGTAATGACCAATATTTATTGCAATTCATAAATACCATTTTAGTTAGAGAGTCAAAGGAAATCAATATACAATGAATTTCCAAGGATTTTGTTAAAGAATTTTACTCTTATTTTCCCAAACACCCCCCATCCATTTAATGGTATTTTCCTTGTGAAAGTAAATCAGAAGAATCTCCTTATATGGACTTGGCACACACGTGGAGAGTTCTGTGTGCCGCATGCCCACAGACTCTTGACTAATCGTAATGGATTAACCCTCCTATGCTAAGAAACATTCTTGACACAGTTGTCATATCAGTCAAAATCACTCAAATTTCTCATATGAGTTTTCGTACTGGGAGAAATCACGTGGAAGGCATTTTTGACTGTTTTTGACAGTTAAAACAGAAGGAGGGTTAAACTGCCAGCAAGTCTTTTACGTAGCAGGCATTATCAAACTGCGGCGGGCATTATCAAATGTTAATACATCGTCACAACAAAGAAACTGTCTCAAGTATTTATGAATACTAGATTAAAGGGAAAGTTCCATTATTTCATGAATGCCAACAGGTACCAGTTGCGAGTCAAAAGTGTAAACGAGTTTCAAACAACAATGCACTAAAACCTGACTGTTGCTGCTAATGCAATACTCCTGATTGTATGCACTAGGGGCTACAATCATTCTACTAAGGACTCTGATTCTAACCTCTCCATGTTGCTATCTTATGCTCCTCCAGTTCATCCATTTTGACCTGCATATTCACAAGCAAAAATATTGAAACTTACACTTAAAAATACCCTAATATTTGGTGGTACATGGAAATGTTATCAGGTGAAAACGGGTAATTTGCCAATATTGATTTATTCAACTGATTTTGCAAATGTATTGTTAAGGAAAAAACTGATACCACATCTTGAAATTGTACAATTTATTAATCAGTGGCTTGATATACGTATGTAAACATATGAACTTCACATATACACGTACTGGTAACAAATACATGCACTAAATCAATGCTACTAGCCAATGCATAGATTTACTAGTAGAAGCCAGTGACCTGAAACCTCCTAACTGGCACAGTATAAACTAACTATACCAGTTAAGGAAATGGGTCTAAACAATGAGACAAACGGTCGTTTATACAAGAACAAATCTTTCCTATTTTGCCCAAGCTTTCCACCAAATGCACTGAAAGACCAACTAACAAGTATTTATATCTACTATAGCTAAAAAAGCAGAAAGTCTGGTGCAAAATTGAGTAACATCCTACCAATGGAGACTTGTAGTAGTTCTCTAAGATGCAGATAAAGTCAGTAATTGTCAGCATACCTTTGAAATTAAGAAATCAAACAGTTTAAGTTATGTTCACAGAACCAAGAGTGTTACCAGTAGACACATTTATCACATTAGGATAATCTACGTTAATCTTCCAGATCATGTTCAATCTAACAAGGCTCTAGTTTTACATAAACTGTAATGTACCTTCTGGACATCAACTACCGTTATTTTTGGAATATAAGCCGCCTAGTGCATAAGCTGCAGCACACAAAAATTGGCAAGTTAATATTTGTGTGCATAAAATACGCCATAAGAAGGAATTATAAGTGGGAAAATAATCACTAAAATGTTGCTATCACAGCAGAGCAAGTAAAGTTTGATTACATACATGGTTCGTGTATGTGTTTCATGACTACATGACTTGGGGAATTCCATTTAATAACTTGAAATATAGACAACATGAATTTCTATTTATTCTCAGAGGATCAAATTATTTAAATACTAACCAATTAAAACATGACTGTACCACCAGCATGCGGTACGCGTGGCCTTTCCATGGCTTTTGTGACTGATTTTATCCTTCAAAGTTTGCAGAGACATTTTTCCGCATGAGCTGCGGCTTATATTCCAAAGATTACGGTATCTTAAAGATCAATGCTTTAAGGACAAGCATGAATTGACCCTATAAACAATCAGTGTTTGAAGCAGTACCCTTTAAAGGACTGTTGAACCTTACCAACAAAGTCTTGTTTTTCACTGTCCCACAAGGGGGCTGCTCTAACTCCATTGTACACCAAAGCAAAGAAAGCCTTTTTGACCTACAAGAGTCGTAAAAAAAAACAATATAACCAAATGAACAAAAAGGGGACAGTTGACGAAAATTTGATAAACATTTGAAACACTTGAATGACAATTCACTAACATGTGTGCAGAAGTTGATCTGCTTATTTTTGCATTGTACATGTATCAATCATTTAGCACTGGACATAACTATCCATTCGGAAAACCTCAGCCAAAATTTTGACAGATGCTGAGTTGTGGTAAGAAAGAATGCCAACTGTGAAAGTCTGCATTAGAGGTACTTACATGTACTGTACACCTAACATATGCCCTTATCTAAAACAAGGGCTTGTCTCTTTACAAACCATAAGAGAGATCCAAAACATTTAACCCATCAGAAGTAATATGAAAAAGTATACATGTACACATAGCAAGGTAAGTTGAAAATTCACTCAAGCAAGCATTTGTGTGGTTTTGTTTTCAAGGCACTGACATCAAGTTTGTGAGATAGGCCACATCAGGATGCATTCCAGTCTTCTAAATCATTTGATATTTTACTATTAATGTGTACACGGTATCTTCCAAATCTGCCAAAGTTGCACCATGGAGTTTGGATGATCACAGGGTGAAGATTAACAGACTTTCCAGTACATTCTAAAAACTTACCAACAGTTGAACGTCAAACACCACCAGCTTGGCACTTGTTGGAATGATCTCATAACATTTGTGGTTCTTCATGAACCTCACAAATGTCATCTCTTCTGCTTCTATAGAAACCAAAGGACACCACCATTGTAATATGTAACATGAATGTCATTGGGCCGTTTGACCCAAAGTATTCCTTGACTGGTTAACTACATGTAAAATGACCTCAAAATATCACTAGAAAAATTCATTTTTTACACTTTTAAATGAAACAGTTTGGTTTTGATATGCACAAAGAACATTATTGCATTTCATCAATCTTGTAAAATTGTGAAAGTTAACATTTACCTTGTGATGAACTCATTTAAAAATGTTCCAATATTTTAATGTATTATTAAGTATGGATGCTTTATTTTTTTTTCATTTTAAAAAGTGTTCATATGAATTTATTGACACAGCAAACATGGAATAAAAAAATCTAGAAAATAAGCAAACTTTTTTACTGTCGGCATGACTTATGTTTAAGTAAATATTTCGATTTGGAGTAGACTTTGAATTGCATGTAGTGGGAAGAACAAGGCATATTTTCAATGTACAGACCTAATAGACCTCTGAAGAATTTAGTTTATCAAATTTTCATCACATTTGTAGCAGTAAACAGCTTTTCTATCACACAAATAGTCACAAGCCAACCATGTTAACATGTTCATGAGATACTCAGCTCCAGTATGGTTTCTATGTTTTAAGTTAAATCAAATATGCAGATGTATTTTGGTATACATGTACAAGAAATCTCAGTCAAAGCAGCAAACAGTCACTAGAGACACTGCACTATTTTCAGCTTGCATGCAATGATGCAACATTATGCAGGTTCACTGCAACAGTGCATAACATACAGTATATCATTATGTGTTGAAACAACTACATGTACATGTAGTTTAAATATCTCCTATTGCAGTGCAGTAATAGCTCAAGGCAGCGAGTCCGCCCAACTCCAATAATTCACTGACTTAACATGACTGAGTTGCTAGCCCCACTTGACTTGGACTCAAGTCATCACTGACAATCACTTGAATTAATGCAGACTCGACTTGATGTTAGTGTTGAATAACATGACTTTGGACTTAACTTGAGACTTGAGTGGTGGGTGACTCACTCCAACACTGTCATATGGTCACATCTTTTGACCAATGTTTTGCAGTAAATATCGTGATTGCCTAAGGTACATGCACATGTATTTGAGAATGATCCAAATATTCACAGTATGGGTTTTTTACACAAAGGAGGGGCTTGAGGGAATGCATACATGTCTAATGTATTGACTTGGTCACATACGGGTATACCAGACAGTGCAATGAATTTGGAGAATCATGTCTGTGTTAGAGGTGACAGAACGTTGGAATCTGGCAAATTCCGTGGTGGAGTTGGAATGAATGCTTACCAGATAATGTATTGTGCAATCCCTGCAATGTATGGTTAAGGACTCTAATGCTAGTTTTATTGTAAGTGTCCATGATGTTAGGCAAATCTTTTCAAATACCATAATAAATAAGGCCTGTGGCCCTGATGGTATCTCAAACAGAATGCTACGCTCGTGTAGCCAACAACTTGCCCCCATTTTACTCCAATCTTCCTGTTGGTTCTAAATGGCAGTTTTATCCCCCAGTGTTGGAAATCTTCCAATTATAATCCCTGTGCCAGCAATCAAAAATCTTACTGTATTTAATGATTACCAATCAGTGGCTTTAATTTCCAGCATTATGAAATGCTTTGAGAGGATTCTTTTACAATTTTTAAACAGTCAAGTTGGTAATGTTGATTGATTTCAATTTGCATATCAGAAAAACAGGGGTGTTGAGGATGCAGTTGCTTTTTATCTCCATAAGCTGCATACACATCTAGATAGGCCTAAGTCCTTTGTTCATTCAGTTTCTATTGATTTCTCCAGTGCATTCAACACAATTGTTCCACATACATGTATTTTGATAAGTAAATTTGAATGTTAAACCACAGCTTGCATTACTCATACAGAGTTTTCTTACTAAACAGGCCACAAAAGGGTGAAGTGCAATGATAGGGTTCCTGGCGTTAAGTTGTTGAGTTTAGGTGCACTTCAAGGCAGTGTTATTTCTCATGCTCGGTTTTCGCTGTACACCAGTGATGTTAATCTCCCGAATCCCAACTGCTATACCAATTAAGTATGCAGATGATGCTGTCATTAGTAGATTTTTTACAAGACAATCCTTCCGAATATTTTAGCACTGTCCAGAATTTGTGGACGGGTGTGATCAACATCATTTATTTGCCAATACTAGTAAGACAAAGGAAATGGTCTTTGATTTGTTATTCATGGTCATTCTATTCAGCAAGTGTCTGAGTACAAGTACTCAGGTACCATGATTGAAAATACACTAACATGGACTAATAACTGTAAGATTCTGGCTCGCAAAGCAAATCAAAGATTACATTTCCTGAAGAAACTGAAGGAATTTCATGTTGATAACAGGTTTTTGATCCTTTCCTTGTCTAACTTGACAAAGGAAAATATCAAGAGATAGCAGGGCTAAGGAGGCTTGCTCAGTGCATCATCCACTCTAATTTACCACTAATCACCTCTCTGTATGAACAGCGTGTCTTGCTCTAAGTTCACACAATAATGCTCAACCTTTCACACCCACTCAATGAGCTATTTAAATTCGACAGATCTGGTATACATGTATGTCTGTGTTCCATCTTTTACACGTTGTCATCACAGAGGAATTCTTTTGTCTCAAATGCAATCCACTTGTTTAATAGGTCTGTGAATAGCTAATTAATTATCCATGCTACTGGACTTAGTTTCTTTACCTTAGTTTCTGTGCAATGTTCCCGTACTTTGGTCCTTTAGTTGTACTGTATCATTAATTGGTCAGTGATGAACACATTGTATCTTAATGGTTTATAAGTGTATACTGCCCTTTTTAGAACTTCCAGTGGAAGTTGACTTCATATGCTTTTTAGTGCAGACAATAAATTGAAATTGATTTGAACTGATGGATATTATGGGAATAAATTTTGATGTGGTGCTGGATTATTTAAAATCCTGTATAGTACACAGTCCACTTCACATCTTATTAGAATCAGGTATCAGGACAAAAGGCTCTTACAACAAATGTAAAACAGTGTTTCATGTACCCATGAACACTTTTTATGTGATTTTATTTTTGGATTGTAACATATAAAAGTAAAATTTCACACAATTCCCTTGATGGAGCAGGAAAACAGGACATTATGTGGCAAATCAAGTGAACCATTTCAACTGAATGGGTACAAATCAATCATTTCTCCGTGAAAGAAATTAATCACTTGAAAAGTCAATGTTATTCATGTGCACAATCACAAACAATTCCTAAAATCCTAGCAAGGAAACCCGGTTTCAAGTGCATCAAATGCAATCATCAGGAAAAAGCCACTACTGAATCAATAAACAGAAAAAGACAATGGTCATTTATAAGGTTTTTATTACAAAAATCACTTCCTACTGAGTCTATTTTGAATTAGTTTGTAATAATTATTCTTTGGCTTAGAAGTTTTGGTTTATGTTCCCAGTTAATAAATTAAGTAACTGCATTGCACAATATATTGAAAAGCCATTTCATGTAACCTATCCATGCAAATGATGGATTACCAACATTTTTTCCCTCTCAATAGTGGAGAAAATCCAGCCTTGTTTTGAAACAGTATACCACGGTTTGAGGCATTTAGAGCGAGCGGATTACCACAGGGGGGACAAAAGCTTTCCACCACCACAGCGATGAGCCACACAGCACCGCTGCACGTTAATCTGGCCCCTATTGAAAAGAGGTCAGCAGAGCACTGTGCCGGTTTCGGGAACAAAAGAATCTTACGTAACACTGCACAATCTGGGCTCTTTTTCCAAGGCTGTAGGCCTGGCTGAAATATTCAGGAGTCAATGAATTTTACCTGTCAGCTTTAGAGTAGTGCCCAAAGAATCGTTCATTGTGGTATAAACGGCCATTAAATGAAATGATGAATTTTTGAAGAATTTTGAAAATGGAAAATCTTGAAAAGGACCCAGCATCTTGTCTTGCTCAAGAAAAATCCACCTGGCAGCAAGTGGTTTAAAGAGAAACAATTGTTACTCTAAAATCCCATCCTTGCCAAATTTCAGAATTTATCGCTAACAACCTTCCAGACAGATTTGGTAAAAACAACCAAAAGCTTATCAAATTTAGCGAGGGTATCAACAGCAAGTAGAAAAGCAAAAATGATGAAGGTTAATTCTGGAGCTGATCCTGCAGATAAGGACAAAAGTTTGCTTTAAGTGTAATCAATAAACCAATTTTGGGGACTTGAATGGAAGAACTTGTAGCAGAAACTTAATGATAGGACTGAAAATGACAACATGGGCATCAGAACATCGCTAGAGAGGGGGTGTTGGGGAGTGTCACGACCCCTCCCCATTGGTAAGTTTTGTCAGTAAAATGGTCTGTCAGCAGCATAAAAAAACGAAGAACGGAGAATGAAGATGAAAGGAAAGGGGAGAAAATGAATATTGTAAAGAAAAGCCTTTATCATGAAGACACCTTCAGTGCCTCAGAGTACCGGTAGTTCACTAGATAGACTGCACTTAATAAGTATTTATTTGTATTGTAATTATTTATAAGGCCACGAAGCTAAAGACGGTTTTACAACCTGAGGCCCCCCCCAAAAAAGTAATGCACACTTTCATGTCAGCACAAACCTTCTCAGGAAGGCGCCTCATGTGCAGAGATACGGTTGACAGCTACAGCTGTTGTGCAAAACACAAGCACCTGTGCGTACGCAGGCAAATTGAAAGTGATCTGATTCTTAGTGATTACTACAAAATCACAAAATCACGGATCTAGCAAGAGAGGGCGAATCTTGAAAGGGAATCAAGCTACAGTGTGTCATTTGTGGAGATACATTTGACAATGATTATCGGATTAAACATAATCAAAAATATCCAGAAATGATCGGTAACAATAGGGTACTCAGTTGCCAATGCCACAAAAAACCCTTTTGAATCTACTAGGAAGAAACCAAGGATTCTCTCGTGGATTGGTTGACATGTGCTGATTTACTTGGACATTCGGCAAAA